TCCTTCGTCTACCTGTCTGCACATTCAAGAAAACTTAATAAAGAAAATGTGACTTCTGACAGGATTCGAGCCTCCGTTTCCCTAGAAAACCACCGTCTGAGGGAGGGTTTTACAATCAATAAAGTTAAGGATACCCTACATCTAATTGTCTGCTTATTTGAGAAAGCTTAATAAATAACATGTGATTTTTCGCGAGATTCGAAACTACATTTCCCTACGTAGAAGACTCCCTACGCGAAAGGCCATAGTCCACCATGCTACAGTGATCCTTCGTCAATCTGTCTGCACATTCGAGAAAACTTAATAAAGAAAATGTGACTTCTGACAGGATTCGAACCTGCATTTTCTTACATAGAGGGAAGCACCGTTTGATGCGGAGGGCCTTAGACCAATTGATTAAGGATACCTTTCCTCTACCTGTCTGCGCATTCGAGAAAGCTTAAAGTAAATGTGACATCTGACAGGATTCGAACCTGCACTTCCCTACACAGAAGGAACCACGGTCTGATGCGAAGGGCCTTAGGACAATCGGCTTCGAAAATCCTTCGTCTGTCTCCGCATTCGAGAAAACAAAGAAAATGTGACTTCTGACAAGATACGAAATTGCGTTTCTCTACGTAGTAGGACCACAGACTGCTGCGGAGGGCCTTAAACCACTCGGCTACGGAGATCCTTTGTCTACCTGTCAACGCATTCAAGAAAACTTGAAGATAATGTGACTTCTCGCAGGATTCGAACCTACGATTTCCTACATAGAGGAAACTATCATCTGATCCAGAGCGCTTTAGACCAATCGGCTACGGATATCCTTCGTCTACATATCTGCGCATTCGTGAAAGCTTAATAAAGAAAATGTTACTTCTTATAAGATTCGAGTCTGCGTTTCCCTATGTAGAAGGAAAAAACCGTCTAATCTGGAGGGGTTTAGGCCAATCTGTTACGGTTACCCTTCCTCTATCTGTCTGCGCATTCGAGAAAGCTTAATTAAATAAATGTGGCATCTGACAGGATTTGAGCCTTCATCGACCTACGTAGAAGAAGCCACGGTCTAATCCGCGGGGCCTTAGTCCACTTGGCTACAGAGATCATTCGACTACCTGTCTACACATACGAGAACACTTAATAAAGGAAATATGACAGGATTCGAACCTGCGTTTCCCTATTTAGAAGGAACTACTCTCTGAATCGCAGAGCTTTAGACCCTTCAGCTATGGACAGAGCCTCATAGGCAAGCAAGGTTCTATTTGCTTTAAATCACATATCACTGAGACTTTCCTTTCTCGAAGTTCTAACTGCTCGATTTCATACCCGAAATGCAAACATTTTCTAAAGAGTTACAGGATTCTTTTTCCTTTTCATCCGCCATATATTTAGTAGATCAAACATTTTCTTTTTTAGTGAATACCCGTATTTGTGTATGAAAGTGAACGCGGTTTCGATTCCAGTCGGAGATCACAATTTCTTTAAATATATTCTAATGCATAGGCAGATACACGAAACAAGCGGGTCCTGGGTAAGACGATAAACTACATCCTACAGCATGGCCTCTTAATTGTTGATGTTCTAAGGTCAACCCCGAACCGAGATGGTAGCACTTGTTAGGGTCCCAGCTATGGGAAAATAGTTAACCCCAAACTGGGTACAAAACACTATGAAAGGATAAAAATAAGTTTTGTTACCAGCAATACATTTTTGCAAAAAATTATTACCTGCAATAAATTTTTGAAGAAAACATTATTACCATTAATAGATTTTTGAAAAACAAAAGAAAATATTACCAGCAATAGATGTTTGAAGAAAAAAATTATTAACAGTAATACATTTTTCGGAAAAAAATACTACCAGCAATAAAAATCTTGTTGGTATTAAATAACCCATTGGGGTTGATATGCCGGAACACAAAGCAAACAAACGAACAAACAAACGAAATAAGAACTCTTTAAAAAAAAAATTATGCCAAATACGGGAATCCGTAAAAAAAGCAAACAAAACGAACAAACAAACGAAATAAGAACTATTTAAAAAATATATATAAAAAAAAAACAAGACGTATATATATAATACGGGTATCCGCTAAAAATAAAGTTTGCAATATAATAGAAGACATATCAAATTAATTTATCCATCGCACCATATACATAAAATATATATATATATATATATATATATATATATATATATATATATATATATATATATATATATATTATTATTATAATAGTTGCACAAAATTTTTTTACACATTACGAATGAGTAGCGTCTCCTCTTTGTTAATTTTATATCAATCTATTTTAGAATTTAACTTAAAACATTTCCAGGTGTAACAGCAAAATTGTCCAAATCGTATCACAGCAAAATTTCCAATTGTTAGATTAAGCTTCGAACCGTTTCATCTTAAAAATTAAAAGATATCTTACAGGATTTCTCCTAGTTTTTTTTATAACACTATTAGATTCTACATTGAACAGTAAGAATGGTTTTAGCTCTAAGTTGAAAAAATGATCACTCTTCCTGTTGTTTTGACCTCCTTATCCAGTTTTCTTCTCTACTGTTGCCACTTTTTAAAACTTATTCAGCATTCTCGCGAAGCCAATGTATGAATTTTGGTAGCATTAAGGAAAGACTGAATGATCTTTTCCCTCTCACTATTGCTCATTTGGAAAGATATAGCGGGGTTGACACAAAACGATTTTAACCTGTTTTCTTTCTAGCAGAATAACTGAAAGAGTTTTTCAGTGATTCTTATAACAAATGGTGTCAAGATGGCTAAACGTCTTATCTGAAAACCTGGAAAAAAGAAACTCAATTAGTTTAGTGGTATATATATATATATATATATATATATATTATATATTTTGCGGGTAGGATAATTATTCTATGATTGTTACACCCAGTATATACCCCTCATCAAGACCCCTGTCAGGGAAATGTCTCATTTAAACAAAATTGAACCATCTCAAAGAAATTGACAAGAAACTCAATAAATGGGTTCGACATTCAGTGAAAGTCAAAGAGTTCGATGTTTTGAAATGTGGTCAATGCTGCATAAACACAAGTCCTCCTTCCTTTCATATTCCATTATTAAGAAGGAAGTAACATTCGAACAGGTTCTTCCAAAGAGCCGGTGATTTGGAGAACAAAATCCTGAGATTCCATTACTCAATGAGGTAGGGACTGGTTTTTCACATTCAAAATCTTCCAAAATCTACAATCGTTGGTTCCAACAGTTCAGTTATCGGCAGCTAGGACCCGCCAGTCCACGTACAGTAATCGACTCCTATTATTTCCCTTCGTATTCCATTAGTAAGAATGAAGTTCCATTCAAACAGCTTCTTCCTAAGAGTCCGAGAGTCAATTTCTCGCGCAGCTCAATGAGAGAAGGACTGGCTTGTCACATTCAATACCTCCAAAATCAACAATATTTGGATTAACTGATTCAGACATACGCAGCTAGAACCCTTTAAGCCACGTACACTAAAATTTCATTCCTTTCATATTCCGTTATTAAGAAGGAATTTCCATCCGAACAGATTCTTCCAAAGTGCCGGTAATTTGGAGAACATCATCCCGAAAATCTATTAGTCGCACTGCTCAGTGAGGGAGGTGCTGGCTTTTCACATTCATTACTTCCAAAATCAACAATCGTTGGTTCCACCAGTTCAGTCATACGCAGCTAGGACCCGCCAGTCCACATACACTACGTCGACTCATCTTCAGTCTCTTTATATTCTATTGATGAGGACAAAATTTCATTCAGCTTCTGCGTTGTGGATCGGACACTTGAGAGGATTTGTCCCCGATCCTTTCTATTGGAATTTGGAATGATCTCCCTTGGGGGGGGCGGATACTTACCTGATCACGTGAAGCGTGATTGAATACCTAGATCCCTGACCGATCGGGTATACCAGATGCTTCAAGTTTGGATGTGCGGATGATATAGAGGCTCGGAATGAGAAGTCGACAAGACGAGTTCGGATCCAGTCGGGTTCCTTAAATTCACTTATGCAGAAATACACTTGGAAAAGATATGAATTCCCCCCCTCTTCTCCATCTCATCAACGGGTTAAATATTAAAACTTGTACCTGAAAATTATTATCTCTAAAAGAATGTTTAATACAGTACTTACTCGCCAAAAGAATTTTTTCTTATAACCTAAAAGTATGTTTCGCTTTTGAATAACGACTCGTAAAAACTGAATCAATTTACTTGAGAGCTACAATCGTAACCCTTCAAATCAAGGTTCAAACGTTATCTGTCATACATATTCTCATCATACAGGACAAGGACGAAGAAGAGAACTGGAACAATCGAAATCTGGTTCTACAGAAGGATGCTGAGGATATCATCGACCGAACATGTGAGCAACGACGAGGTTTTATAGAAAATGGAAACAAAAAGGAAACTTATATTTGACATCAGAAGACAGTTGAAAATTCCGGGGCACATAAAAAAAGGGCTTGGAAATTCTGATACCCACAGGGCAGATTGAGGTCAAGGGGGACAGAGGAAAACAGCACATAACACACTTGATGAACTTCTGTAAACAGATGACGGATCCAGGTTCAGGAGAAATAACGGAAAGACGAAAGTTATTAAAAGCTAGAAAGGAAAATGTGGAGAGCAATGATCGCAGGAAACACGGCATATAAAGAAGAAATCATCCTATTACGCCCATAAAACAACCTCATTCACTTTTATGTCTCTACCTTGAGTGGCTCTTGAGCCTTGCACTAGGTAATTAGTAGCGTAAAATTGCGAGAAAAAAAGACGTTAACGACTTGACGGTGTTTCGCGACACCAATTATCAATTAGACCCCGAGGCACCTCGGCGTGGTGTAATGGTTAGCAAGCTTGTCTCGCTAGATCAGTTACAACTGAAAAGTGAGTTCGATCCTCACTAAATGCCCCATACTTTCTGCCTTGTGCCGCATCTAAGCTATGCTTGGAAAATAACTATCAAAGCGTAGAAGCGACACAATGAACGAACTGAGAAGTACTTATGGGGATTTCTTGTTTTGTCGTCGTCAGTAGCAGCGAACTAAGAACAAATTGGAAATATGTAATATTCATGGTCGGGTCGTCGATAGACAAAAGCTTATTACTTAAACAGTTTTGTTTCCTGGCAACTGAAAATAAAAAAGTGCTAAGGGTCATCGAGGGTAAACAATTTTTGAAAATAGTAAGTTTTTCCTCCCCTCTCACGCTTTCATTCTTTCTTTCTCTCTCTTTCCTTCTTTCTTTCTATCTCTCTCTCTCTTTCCTTCTGTCGTTCTCTATCTTTCTCTATCTTTCACTATCTCTTTCTCTCTCTTTTCTTTCTCTTTCTTTCTCTCTTTCTCAATCTTTCTCTGTCTCTTTTTTCTCTTCTCTTTCTCTCTTTCTCTCCCTTTCTCTCTCTTTCTCTCTTTCTTTCAATCCTTCCCTCTTTCTCTCTTTTTCTCTCACCTTCTCTTTTTCTCCTCTTTCTCTTTCTATCCTTCTCTATCTCTTTATCTCTCTTTCTCTCCCTTTCTCTCTCTTTCTCTCTTTCTTTCAATCCTTCCCTCTTTCTCTCTTTTCCTCTCAGCTTCTCTTTTTCCCCTCTTTCTCTTTCTATCCTCCTCTATCTCTTTATCTCTCTTTCTCTCCCTTTCTCTCTCTTTCTCTCTTTCTTTCAATCCTTTCCCCCTTTCTCTCTTTTTATCTCATTTTCTCTCAGCTTCTCTTTTTCCCCTCTTTCTCTTTCTATCCTTTTCTATCTCTTTATCTCTCTTTCTCTCCCTTTCTCTCTCTTTCTCTCTTTCTTTCAATCCTTCCCCCTTTCTCTCTTTTTATCTCTTTTTCTCCCACCTTCTCTTTTTCCCCTCTTTCTCTTTCTATCCTTCTCTATCTCTTTATCTCTATTTCTCTCCCTTTCTCTCTCTTTCTCTTTTTCTCTTTCTCTCTTTTTTTCTCTGTTTCTCTTTCTCATTCTCACTCTCTTTCTATCGGTTTCTTTTTTATCACACTGTCTTTTTTCTATATCTATCTATCTATCTATCTATATATATATATATATATATATATATATATATATATATATTTCAATTTTTTCTCTCTCTCTCGTTGTTCTCTATCTTTCTCTCTCTCTTTTTCTCTGTTTCTCTTACTCTCTTTCTCACTCATTCACCCTTTCTCCTTTCCCAGAATAAAACCATCAAAGTACAATCACTGACTCTAAAATACGTCATCGAAACATGTTCTTCCACAACTATAGTACAACTATCCAGTCATTATTATTGAAAAAGAGCTATTGCCCACCGGAAGTGAAGGTCAGTGTTTGAGTTAGCGTTTCAACAGATAATTTTCAAACTTTCCTAATTTAAATTATGGCGCAACTCTATCTACCGGGATATATGTCAATTTGTTAGCGTCATTGCATCTGTAAATTGATATCGAATTTTAGAATCACCTAGCGAAAGGATGGCGCAATATAATCTTCCTTTTTCGATTAATTTTCATAAATCTAGCTTACACATTTATATGGCTACCATTCGTCCATTCATTGAATATTGCTATCATATTTGGTCTGGTGCTTCTGCTATGTATTTAGACATACTTGATAAAAAATAAAGAATCTGCTATATTATTAATATTGACCTGGTATTTCAGCTTCAGTAATTTTCCCAGCGTCATAACGTAGCTTCCTTGTACATTTTTCTGTAAACATTTTCAGAGTAATTGACCTGATGAGCTTTCCTCTTTGGTACTTGGGTTTTATGAATTGAAGCACAGTTCTAGATTGGCGGGTAGGTCTCATCATTTCACAGTTGAAAGAGCGAGATGTAACCGTAAGTCCACAATTGGATATTGCTATCACATTTAGTCTGGTGCTTCTGCAATGTATTTAGACATCTTATATATATAGTACAGTGTATGTGTGTGTGTTTGTGCGTGTGTGCATCCAAGCAACTCTTCCCCTACCCCTGGTCCGATTTCAATGATTCATAGCCCATTCAAAAGCCATAGAAAATGTTAGGCGCAGGGAACGATTTTCGTTGAGCTCAGATTCAACTTTGCCATATTTTGCGAGGTTACAAAATATATATTAATACATTCATGATTCAATGGGAGTAACTTTTATTTTCCTTTTGTATCCAAAATTGCAGTTCACATTTTATCATAAATAGCTTAAAATCCGCTCTATCTATCTTCAGAAATTTAAATGCAACGTCAATCGATATTTTTCATCTTCTTAATTCCTGTTTTTATTGTTCTCTTCCCTTGATAATGATTTCGTTTTCTCTTATTTTTCACACTCAGAAACCTCTTGCGTTTTAGTGGCTTTATTGCCTTGCTTGGGATGAAATGATTAAAGAAACCTTATTAACCTGATTTTTGCTTTAAGGCTTACCAAGGAAGTATATATTTTATGCTCTCAGGTTGACAACCAATGTAACAGCTTTTACTGCTATTACCATAGTTAAGGGGCAGTTTTGCCAGATCTAACGCTGATGTGCTAACGACCACCACTGAATATGTATACCTACCTCTTGACGATAACGGTGAAACCCGACTCTTGATATCTCGAAGGCGTTTGACGGGTATTTCTGTTTGATTTAATCCAAGTGTTCCTATCAAATCATGAAATGAAGGTGGTTTTGAACGGGATCGCTTCCAGATCCTTTCACACAAATGCGGGTTTCCCCCAAGGCTCTACCCTCGGTCCTACGCTGTTTCTGATCTTCATCAATAATCTCCCTGATGTCATCAATTCCCAAGAAGGAATTTATGCTCATGACGCTACCATGTACTATTGTCTCAAAGTTAACCTGGCCGCTGCAGGAAATGGCTCGTAAATTTTAATGCCTCCAAAACAAAACTGTTCTCTTTCAAACATCATCAAGAATCTTTCCCGCCTACCAGCAGCATGTCTGATGCTAGACTCATCGAGGGTAAAACTCTGCAGCTTGTTGGCCTCACGTTTTCATCTGACTTGAAGTAGAATGACTACATCGGATCAATAACTGCATCTACTGCAAGGAAAGTTGGATCACTGTGTCGTGAGAGAAAGTTTTTTTCTTATCGGAGTCCATCTTGCACATTTACAAATCTATCATTTGCCCGGGCATTGAAGACTGTTGCCATATCTGGTCTGGTGCTCCTGCCACTCATCTCGAGGTTCTTGACAAAATCCAAAGAAAGATCAGCAATGTAATCGATTCACACTTGGTTTCTCGACATCACTCACTTTCTTACCGACGTGACCTGGCTTCCCTCTGTCTTTTCTAGAAGTATTATTATGTCAACTGCTTTGACGAGCTTTTTTTCTGGTGCCCGGTCTATAGTGGTTTAGGTTTCTACTAGACTGGTCCCACCTTTTACCGTTGAATTATTTAAATGTAACCGCTACTTCTACTCCGTTTTTTTTTTTTTTTTTTTTTGTAGCACTTCCCGCTTGTGGAACTCCCTTCCGTTTACTTGCTTCCCTGATAACTACAATCTTCATAACTTTAGGTTTAACGTCAATCGCTATCTTCTATCTTCTTGAACCCCATTCAGCTTTTATCCTTTCTTCAGTCCCAACTCCCTGTAACCCCCTGTGTACTAGTGGAATTTTCCCCTTCTTTGGGATGAAATATTTTTTTAAAAAATGTAAAAAAATCAAGCTTATCAAGTAAATTCACACTCTTGTCCGCCCAGTCTTTTGAATATGAGTAAATGTTCATCCTTTGTCCTCTCTTTTGGAGTTGCTTCCCGGTTCTTTTCTAAAGTCTACTTCAACTCTATACTTCTAACACCTCCGCCTGAATTTTTATTTACTATTTATTTATTTTTTAACCAAAATAAGAGTACATAGGTTCGCCTATCGTCCTGTTCAGACTCCTCTCCTGTCTTTTGAACAGGCATAGAGGTTTATCACTTTTTCCTGTTTAGGATTGTGTTTCTGGTTTCTTCTAAAATCTTTTCATTCTCTTTCACTCCCAGTAGCCCCTTGCATCTTAGTGGCATTATCGCCTTGCTTGGGGTGAACTGATCTTTAAAAAAATGCCATGAATATGTCCCATGAGTGTCAAATTTTCGAGCCTTTTTTCCACATTGTATGTCCGAGAAATTTCGACGCTCTCTTCCAGAATCTAAATACGTACGCCCTTTTTTCTATTGTTCTTAAGACCTCCCCGTTTTCCCTTATTTTAATTCTGCTCCGCGATCTGTTTTTCAGAATTCGGATGATAAGGTTCTCTATGTGGCTCAATAAGCGAATTGTCCAGTGGAACTCGCATTCATTTGCACCTGGCTTCTTGGGCAGCGCTAGAAATATGGATCTACTAAGGATTGATTTCTTGCATTTTTTTAAGCCTTTCAGTAACAGACGCGCACAAGTTTCCGTAGAAGAACAGGGCTTTGGAGAAATAGCAAAAAGACAAAACTTACTAAGATCAACAAAGGAAAAGATGTTATGGTCATCCACGTCCTGAAAGGACACGGCACTTAGATAAGTGATTCTCAACAGCCGTGCCGCGGCACACTAGAGTGCCGCACGATCTTCTTGGGTGAGCCGCGAAATGACTGGTTTCGAAATCCATTCATAAATGTCCCTTCTAATATTGAACTTCAGTTATGTGAAGAAGAAGTAAAGAAGAAGAAGAAGAAGAAAGAAGAAGAAGAAGAAGAAGAAGAAGAAAAATAATAATAATAATAAGAAGAAGAAGAAGAAGAAGAAGAAGAAGAAGAAAAATAATAATAATAAGAAGAAGAAGAAGGAAGAAGAAAAAATAATAAGAAGAAGAAGAAAAAAAAGAAAAAGAAAAGAAAAGAATAAGAGGGAAGAAGGAGGAGGAGGAGAAAAATAATAATAAGAAGAAGAAGAAAAGAAGAAAATAATAATAAGAAGAAGAAGAAGAAGGAAGAAGAAGAGGAGGAAAATAATAAGAAGAAAATAATAAGAAGAAAAAGAAAAAAAGAAGAAAATAATAAAAAAGAAGAAAAAATAAGAGAAGAAAAAGAAGAAGAAGAGGAAGAAGAAGAAGAAGAAGAAGAAGAAGAAGAAGAGGAAGAAGAAAAATAATAATAATAAGAAGAAGAAGAAGAAGAAGAAGAAGAAAAATAAGAAGAAGAAGAAGAAGAAGAAGAAGAAGAAGAAGAATTGGCCACTATTTCTAGGGATCGAAGGATCAAAAATACATTCTACGCTACCCATTCATAGATTTTCGATTTCAGCACAAAAGGAAGAATCCACATTAGATAAAAAGATTTTATCAGTTCTAATGCAATTTTATGTGAATTAAGCTTCTCAACCCTAAATAAGATCAAAAATAAGAAACGGGAAAGACTACGCTCAGCTGAAGAAGAAATGAGGACCACCTTATCGCACATTTGATCAAACATTGAAGAAACCGTGAAAAAACACCAGGCACAGGTTTTACCCTAAATAAGTTGCACAAATAGGTTGGATAGAAATATTGAAATAAAGTAAGTTCATATTTGCGTGTGTATTTTTTTTTAAATCTATGTTTTTATTTCATAACATTTAAATGTATGTATATCCTTTAAGTAATAATAGTACAGCGTTAGTATTTGAAATATCTGATTTAGATGAATTAGGCTTCGCATGCCTAAATAACATCAAAAATAAGAAGCAAGAAAGGCTACGCTCAACTGATGAAGAAATGAGGGTCTGCCTATCACACATTCGACCAAACATTGGAAAGAATCGTGAAAAAACACCAGGCATACGTTTCACACCAAATAAGCTAACAGTTGGTTAATAGAAACATTGAAATATCGTGAGTTCATAAACGTGTGTGCATTTTTAAAATGTCTATGGTTTTGTCATAATATTTAAATGTATTTTCTTTAAAAAATTCGCTAAGTGCGCCGTGATATTTTCATTTGCTCCGAGGTGTGCCGTTGCTTAAAAAGGTTGAGCAAGACTGCATTAGATGATGAACCAATGAAAAACATATAATTCATAAACTTTTAGATGTATATTATTATTAAGTTTTGACCAGTATTTATTTTAATTGCGATTGCGTTCTTACGCCGTGCGTGGCCAAGTAGTTAGCACGTTCGCTTTCTAAACATGAGACCCAGGTTCGAATCTCTACGAGGTCTACTTTTTTCCGTCGCGATTTTACCACAGTTTTGTTTTGTGAGTGAAATTGGATAGACGGATTCGACGTTTGGAAACCGTCGATGGTTGAGTTAACACGAAGTTCCAAGTCATCGTGATCG